AGTTCACTGATCCTGCAAGAGAACCGGTGTTTCTCCTTGTATTGTTTTTAGAAATGAAACAACTAGGTGCGTCTTGTTCTTGTTCTATCAGATGTTTAATGATTCAACATGTTTTTACACTTTCCTCTTTCGATTCTGCCTCATGTTTGTTCTCATTGGGCCTTATGAAACAACATGTTCTATTCCAATGCTTAATTGCTCTCTCATTTACTACTTACATAATAAACTCTTTGGACATGTATTAATCCTAGTTGATATTGAGTCCTCACTAGGCAAGGCAAGGCAAGTTTATTTATATCGCGCCTTTCAACACAAGGCAATTCAAAGTGCTGTAAAAAAATGAAAGACAATAAGATCTAACAGCACTAACATGTGTAGTCAAATTTGTCTACAAATTATTTACAAATGTTGCTTCATTTGGATGGAAAATGTGCGAGGCGAAAATGTACCTCACTCTTTGTTTATCACATCACCAAATCACTATAGAGAAAAATGAAAATTGGCATCAACATCACGAAAACTAAACCGGTAGCAACCATGTTGTCAAAGTTGACCAATCCACGGACTTCCTCACACACAGGCAGCTCTGCTGATTTCTCCTCCCTGCCTGCAGGCTGATAACAGACAGTTGGGATCGCGGCGAAATTCTCTCTGCAGACCCATTCTCACAGCGTTTATCAACCTTTTTCTTACTCAATATCAAGCCACACTTATTGTTTTTACTTCGGCTGTGAGTTTGTGTGTGCTCAGGATGAGTTTGGCTGTGTTTCGCTATGTATCCTAAACAAGGAAACAACACCTCCACGGAGCTCAGCGCGATTCACAACGTCCCGACCAATCAGAGCACACTGTGCTCACAGGGAGGGTGGAGGCTGGAGCTTTTGGAGCTACAACGAGCCGTTAAAGGCAGAGAGTGAAATTCAGTGAACACACGTAGTTTACAGAGATGCTGTATGAGAAACCAATGTGAGTTTGGAAAAATGCACAGAATAAATCTATTTTAGTATACCTCAACAATGGAATTATGATCAGTGGAAATGGCCATGACACCTCTCCTTTAAGAAGCGATTACTTCCTCAATTAGTTTACTATTATAATTTGGTCTGTACATGTAAGAAAATGGGGGAAATGCCTGTAATATGTAGTAAAGACAAAGGTTACGTCTTTAAGTAAAGTGAGAAGCTGGATGTATTTTTCTGTGGAGCTACTAATAATGTAGCTCCACTGTAGACTAGCACCATGCTTCAGTAAAGATAGTTGCAGCTCTGTTCTTGGTGATGCTGATACACTTGTCTTTCTTTATTTACATGCAGTGGAGAGCCACTGTCTCCTCACACAATTTTGAGGAATCTGAAGTTTTGGAAAATGGAAGTTAAACCTGAAAAAAAAAAGAAAACACTTCCTGGCTCTCCTTGGTTCATACTGATTGAAGGTGATCGAGACATTTGATCAAGTGAGTAGTGACTTAATGACTTAAAAGTGAATGAGGATGCATTATGCACAATTGGGCCATATATGCAGTTTTTAGAGCCCTGTTTAATATTATACACCAGGGGTGTCAAACTCAATTTCATCGCGGGCCACATCAGCATTATGGTTGCCCTCAAAGGGCCGGTTGTAATTTTAACACTATATAAATATACATATATAAATATCAAAATAATGTTTTATACTGTATAACAATATTGCCTCTGCATTGGAGTATTATTGGTTTTGGCAATAACTACGTCTGAAAGCACATGGTTGTGCATTAATGTATTGTGCACGTAGACACAAAAATACTGTATGTGGGCTCAGACTAACATTTCACTCTCTTACTGTTACATAAATCCCATGAATTTATGAAATTTAGTTAGCCTCATCATATCTTATCAAAAAGAGATACAATGTTTGTGAAATCTATTTTTTGTGAATAATAAAGTATTTTTCTTTTGTATATCAAGCATTATTTAAGTAGGCTATATTTCATTTGAATTCAGCAATAATATTTGAATAGTCTGAAAGCCAAGACTTTGAGAACCCCCTGTCCCAGATCCTGCTGTGTTACTATCACCTGTCACTCACTATTTCAGTAAGCAGTGAGTGGGGGGGGGGGGGGCGGCGGCGTGTTGAGGAGGAACAGAGTGAGAGGGGACAGGGATCGCGGAAGTTTTCCTCCTTCCTTTACAAACTTTACACAAGTATTTATCGTCTGAATATAGCAAAAAGACGTTCATACTCTGCAAGCCAAGACCTCATATATTGTAATCAACCAGAAACCGGAAATAACCGTAACGCGAGTTTTTCTAAAACATAATAAATCCATGTGTGTCTCTGAGCCGCAGCAACACCGACTGATTCTTAAAGAGCGGGTCATTCTGTCTGTTTGTTCTGGGACTGGAGTTGCTTGTCTCGGTTGCTGAAGCAGACTTTGCTCCGTGTTTGGTGTCTCTGTGCCGCTGTAAATTATGTTCCTTCAACTCTGTGTCACTCACAGTCACACACTGGTCACTCACCGCCTCAAGAGTGCCGCTGCTGATAGGAAGTCGCTTCAGTGCGCACGTCACAAAACGAAATGCATTTTGGGACATGCAGTTTATGGGCAACGTGCTTAAACGGCATGTAACCGTATAATAAACTGTTTATATTCTTTGCGAGCTCTCGCGGGCCACATAAAATGACGTGGCGGGCCACATTTGGCCCGCGGGCCTTGAGTTTGACACGTCTGTTATACACTAATCTAAGTGCAAATGTGATCATTTTAAATCAGCTTTAATTAAGAATCACTGTTTAATACCATATTATGGCTATTTGAAATGTAATTTTAGGTGTGATTTAAGGATTTAAAATATTTAGTGGAGTTTGTTTAAAGCTCCCATGTCATGCTTTTCCGGTTATTACCCGTCCCCTTGTGTGTTATGAAGGTTTTTATGCATGTAAACGGTGTGCAGAGTCAAAACCCTCAAAGTACACCCTGTAGCGAGTAAAACTCTAACACAGAAAATACCTCCCCAAAACGCCTCGTTGGAGATACGTCACTGCCCATTTGATTCTTCCGGGTACCGCCTGATGTCATGCGGTACCCGGAACGAAATGGACCAATCCCGAAGAGCTATGGCCACACCAGCAGCGGCGTGTTCCTCCTCCAGAGGTTCGAAGAACCGGCATTTCACAGACGAAAGCTTCCAAAACATTGCCCAGTTTGAGGCCGGATATGCACAGCTTGTTTGGACCGTTTGGAGCAGGGGAAGATCTGGGTATACAACCTGTAAGTTTGCATTGTTATTTGTGTATTTATCAAACAAGACTGTTTAAATGTGTAAACTGTGTTGGACTGCTAAGCCATTGACACAGTGCTAACTGTGCTAACTAAGTTGCTAGAGTTTCCATATATCAACTCTAATATCAGCAGATGGCCTTGCATACATGTATCTCATAGCAGGAGAATGTCTGCATTCACACACAAAATACCTATTGACAGTATACTCCGGGTGATTTGCCAGTCAGTCGCGAAACGTAATTACATTATAGCTGGCGTAGCGATCTAACACACGGAGCTAGAGCTAGTTTTGGTCGGAAAAACATTTTTGTGATGCTACGTTGCTAGCGTTTAAATATATCAACTACAATGTCATCAGATGGCCTTACATGTTTGTCATGGCAGGAGAATGTCTGCAGTCACACACACGGAATACTCATACAGTATACTGTACTGTGATTTACCGTACATTGTGACCGTACATATACTGCATGTAGCTAACGAGGCTAGCTGTATGCTAGCGCAAAACAATGTATTCATGCAAGTTACATTGTATGGTAGCAGAATACCCGTATACGATTGCAATTATAAACACGTTATTGCTAGCCTAATATGAACCACTAGCTTTTGTTCATAGTAGTTTTATTACACTGCATTATAGTTGCCTTTCCTCCAAGCTAACGTTCATATCGTGTTAGCTACCAAGGTAAACAAAGCTAGGTTAGCATATTAGCAGGCAAGCTGTTCATTACACAACTACTACTAACTAATCTAAAACAACTAAGTTTCTCTAATATTTTGTGATTTGCATTTGATTTCGTCCAGCCAGATCCTGGCGGACAATCCATGACGGGGAAGGGACTTCGACTACTACTGAGGCCTCGTGCTAAAAGGCACCGCACCGACTGTGCGCAGGCAAGATGCGAGGAGGAGGAATGAATGATATACCGTGTGTATATATGTATATTTATGTTCATTTTGTACATTTCTAAAAATAAAGTTTAATGGAAATACTTAGTAGGCCTATCCTTTCTTCCCTGAATTCATATATAGCAAACCATGATTTGATTTCTCATCAAACAGTAGTAGTTTATAACGGGTAAAAATAACTTACTCTTTGTTATGAGAGTGGCTCGTAGGCCACAACGGAAAGACAAGGAGACATACACGAGTTTACAAAACCACGGCACATTTATTGTGGTAAATGCAGAGATAGGTGGTTGAGAGGATCGCAGAGTTAGTCTTCCTGCAGCCGCTTTGGAGAGAGACTGGGGCCGTCGTGTCCGGAGGTGTCCGTGATCGTGCTGATTAGCCTCTTCAGCTCCACCCCATCGTAAGACAAAGGCCCTGGGGCCGTCACACTCTTCTATAACAACAGTTAAAAATATATATGTATATAAAATATACCGCTGTACCGACGCCATGATAAGACTGATGTTACGCTGAGAGCAGCCGGGAAAAGCACTGACATGGGCGCAGCCTCTCTGGTGGTTGACTAATCAGAACGAGTGGCCGAGCTGACCAATCGGAGCACACTAGGCTCACAGGGAGGGGGGGGCAAGAGCTCCAACGAGTCGTTTAGTGGAGAAAGTGAATACTGCTGAATACACATGCTTGACAGAGATGCTGTATGCGAAACCAATGTGAGTTTGGAAAATTGCACAGTATAAATCTATTTTAGTATACCTCAACAATGTAATTATGATCAGTGGAAATGGCCATGAAATGGGCCCTTATCTATCGTGTGAATTAATGTGGTAACCTGATTAGATATTATTTTCAATTGTATTCATGTTTGATTAAAGATTGTTTTGGGTGTATGTCTTTGTTTTTAATCTATCAATATGAAATCAATATCGTTACTATTACCATTATATATTACTATTCATACTGTAGTTATACAATATAGCTTGCTTCCTTCAATGTAACCATCTGTATGAATGTGGTTATATTTTTGTTTATGGTCATGGTGTGAAAATGTTGTGATTTGTCATCATGGGACTTTTGAGGAAAACCTACAACAATGTTTCAACTTTGTTGCTGTTGAGATTGGGTTAATAAAAAAGTGTTTCTTCTTGATTTGAAATCAATTAAATGTTGTGTTTATTGTGCGTCATTGTGCCATTTTACTGATCCAACATAATAATTCAGCAGCGATATGAATTCTGTTGCTTATTCAATTCTTCAACAAGTATCACGAGGACAGATTCTTTTTTTTTGCACAACTCTGAGGTAATTCATCTAAGGGAATATTTGAAGAAGCGTATCTCACACAGTCACACACTTCAATATCCATTTAATACCAAACATCTACTGATACATAACTCACTCTATTAGAGCTGCAACTATTAACCAAAGTGAAGCTAGCATTTACAATTTCCCTGAAGCCCTTTTCATTTAATGCACTTAGTTTGCTTCCTCAACGTGTCTATATTGCAAAACTACCTCTGCTTTATTTCTATATAGGATGCTCATTGCAGGGTTGGGCTATATGACAATATATGTAAAATGTACTGTGAGACGATGTTAATCTTCCTGCCGTATTGTTTTATGATATTTCCCTTTATTATGACTGGTTTAATCGGACCATCATTCAGGGTGATAATCCTGGATTTAAAACTTACTATGTTATTCATTTCACTGGATGTGTCAAAACAGATGATCCTAACTATTTGATCAATAAACAATTCATAGAATATATATCATATATTATAAAAAATACAAACCAAAAGAATAGTGTCAATATTGCCTACCCATACTATTGTATTGCCTTACTTCTACTGTTTTGTTGTTAATTTGGAGTTTTCCCTTATACAAAATGAGGGCCTAGAGACGATAAGGTAGTATTATGCATGTTACCTTCAAACCAGGTTATACAGTATGAGCAGTGTATTTCAATGTCATGTTACTTTATACTTCATTACATTTTTAAATCACATTTTTCTGCACAATAAGTCATCTCACTTTGTACTTAAAGGTCCCCTATTATACTGTTTTTCATCAATATATTATGGGTCTCAGATATATACAAAACATGTCTCTGAAGTGTTTGACTCCAAATACCAAACATATCATGCTTGATTGTAGCATCCCATAAACCCCTCTGTTTCAGCCCTCTTTCAAAAGTGCTGATTCTCCAACCCAGTCTCACATCTAAACGTGTAATAACTACGTTGGTCCACCACTTGGGATGTAGTATTTCTACAAAAACGCCTCTGAAATTGTAGGATCCCTACGTTTTTTTTCACCATTCATTTCCAATGGCTGGCGTCTATGTCACGTGATCTTCAACTTTCTCTCCGCAGAAATAAAAAAACATGGCCGACCTTCGTTTTGTTCTCGGTAGAAAATGCCTATTTTAAATCAAATCAAATCAAATCAGGTTTTATTTATATAGCACATTTAAAAGCGATTTTTGGTCGAGCCAAAGTGCTGTACATGTAATAAAAACACATTACTACAAATCACAATAAACGACAATAAATTACAACAGATATAACTTAAAAACAAAATAAAAATAAAACACACGGAAAAGTCAGGAGTCGTGCTCCGCTCTAACTAGAAAGCCAGAGAGAAGAAGTGTGATTTTAGTTTTGATTTAAAAAACTCTAGGGTCTGGGCCGACCTCACATGGAGGGGCAGGGTGTTCCAGAGCCTGGGGCCAGCTGCTGCGAAGGCTCGGTGCCCTCGGGTTTTTAGCCTGGTCTTGGGCACTACCAGCAGCAGCTGGTCAGCAGACCTTAAAGCTCTGGCTGGGCTGTAGCGCTGGAGCAGTTCAGCTATATAGGCCGGAGCCAGCCCATTTAGTGCCTTAAAAACAAATAAAAGGATTTTAAAATCAATTCTGAACCGAACTGGAAGCCAGTGTAGTGAGGCCAGAATAGGGGTGATGTGGTCGCGCTTTTTGTGGCCAGTCAGCAAACGTGCAGCAGCGTTTTGGACTAGCTGTAAGCGTTTGATTGAGGCCTGGTCCATACCCACATACAGAGCGTTACAATAGTCCAGTCTCGAGGTTACAAAGGCGTTAATAACCCTTTCTAAGTCTTTAAAAGATAAATACGACTTGGTTTTGGCCAATAGTCTTATTTTAAAAAAGCAGGATTTTACTACGGTGCTGACCTGCTTGTCGAATTTAAAAGTGCTAGTGAAGGTCACTCCAAGGTTCATGACCGAGGGGAGGATGGTTTTTTTGATAGAGCCCAGAATATCAACCGGAGAGGCTGGAGGTTGGGGTCCAAAAAAAAAGATGACCTCGGTCTTGCTCTCGTTGAGGTTGAGGAAGTTTTTGCTCAGCCAGGATTTTATCTCTGCTAAGCAGTCCATCAGCTGCTGTAGTGAGTGTGTGACATTTGCTTTGAGAGGCAGATAGATCTGTACATCGTCGGCGGAGCAGTGGAAGGGAATGTTATGTTTTGTGAGTATTGAACCTAGGGGCAGTATGTACAGTAGAAAAAGGATGGGGCCCAGAATCGAGCCTTGGGGAACCCCACAGGTAAGAGGGGCTTTGGCAGAGGAGAAGGCACCTAGCTGTACCGAGAAGCTACGGTCTGTCAGGTAGGACCTGAACCATGCAAGGGCAGAGCCTGTGATGCCAGCGGACTGTTCAAGCCGTGACAGCAGGATGCTATGGTCCACAGTGTCAAAGGCAGCTGTCAGGTCTAACAGCACCAAGACAGCTGGGCTACCTGAGTCGGCGGCTAGGAGCAGATCATTAAAAACTCTTAAAAGGGCTGTTTCAGTGCTGTGCATGGGTTTGAAGCCAGACTGAAACTTTTCATGGATTCCATGGATGGTTAAAAAAGACTGCAGCTGGGCGTAGACTACTCGCTCCAGGGCTTTTGATAAAAAAGGTAGCTGGGAGATGGGCCTAAAATTTGCGAGAATGGAGGGATCGAGATTTTTCTTTTTAAGGAGTGGCTTAACCACGGCATGTTTGAAGGCAGCTGGGACACATCCTGAGCTAAGAGAGGTGTTTAAAAGTAATAAAATACTTGCTCCAACTGATTCAAAAACATCTCTGAGAAGGCGAGAGGGAATGCTGTCTGAGGTGCAGTTTGTCGGCCGCAGGTGCTTGACTACATCCGAGAGAGAAGAGAGGGATACAGGCTCAAAGTGGTCGAGGACAGCCGGGCACAGAAAAGGAGCAGGATCTGGGGTAGCACTAGTGTGGGCTAGCCTAAGAGCAGATACCTTTTCAATAAAAAATGTAAGAAACTTATCACAGAGAGTAGTCGATGGCACAATAGAAGAAACATCACAGGGATTAATGATCGAGTTGAGGACATTAAAAAGAACCTGAGGTTTATGGCTGTTTTTGGAGATGAACAGAGAAATGTGCTCTGTTTTGGCTGCTTTGACTGCCGTCTGGTAGTCAGAAAGGCAAGCACGAAGGATTTCTAGGGAGACATGGAGTTTATCCTTTTTCCATTTTCTCTCTGCACGCCTGCAAGCGTGTCTGAGAGCACGAGTACAGTCATTGAGCCACGGTTCTGATAGAACTTTGGTGCGTCTAAGCGTAAAAGGAGCAACAGAATCCAGTATTAGTGTGCATGTCGAATCAAACATGGAGATAAGCTCATCAGCATTAAAGGCACAGTTCACATCTAATTTACAGATCGGAGAAGCATTAAAAACATCAGAGAACTGTGAGGCAGTCAAGGGGTTAATCGAACGCAGACGACGCGCCGGGGCACGTGATTCGACTCCTGCGGAAGGGATGTAGGTTGTAAACAGAACCGGTAAATGGTCTGAGATACGCGTTGCTGCACTTATTTCATCCACAGATACAGACAGTCCAAACGATAATACTAAGTCCAAAGTGTGTCCTTTTTCGTGTGTTGGGCCAGCCACGGACTGAACGAGACCAAAGGAATCAAGGAGATTTAAAAAGTCCCTAACCAGAGGTTTGGACTCGCAACACACATGGACATTGAAGTCTCCGGAGATCAAAACACGATCATATTTCACCATGATCCCGGACAGAAAGTCAGAAAAGTCATTTATGAAATCCTTATTACACTTTGGCGGACGATACACGACTGCGCAGAGTATAGGCGAGGCCGGGTTCAGTTCAAAAAGCTGCAACTCAAAGCTGGCATAGCTAGATACAGGGTGAAGCAATCGGCATTGGAGGTTAGCTCTAAACACTGATGCTACAGTATGCCCCCACCATGGCCAGTGGCACGGGGGGAGCTGAAGAATGTACAGTCAGGAGGAAGAAGTTCAGAGAACGGTGTATACTCGCCAGCGTGGGCCCAGGTCTCCGTCAGGAACATAAAATCCAGTTCACGAGAGGTGAAGAAGTCGTTTAGCAGGAACGTTTTGTTTGCTATCGACCTAGCATTTAGCAAAGCCATGCAAAGTTTTCGCTCCGGGCTTGCCGAAGGTGTAGTGAGTCTCAGCTGACGAAGATGTGCGTGTTGAACGCCGCGCGGGCCGGGAGCAGTCAGTCGGGCAGGAGGAGCTGCCAGCGGGCCCCTCAGAGTCCGGAGCTCCGGAAAGACGGGGCGAATCCACCGATCCCTCACTTGGCGTGCAGCGGGAGGGCCATGACATCCGAGGCGTGGATAATTCACAGAAGAAGCCGTCAGGTATGCCTTAAGATGGACCAGTGCACCACCACGCTTTCCCCGTCGTCGAAAGCGCTTTCGGCGAGGCAGGATGCAGTGTGACCGGCGTAGGTAAATGGGGATATCCGACAGTAGAGGGGGGGGGGGACGATTTATGGTTGCCAGATGTAGGTTTGGGCAGCAATATCAACTCCAGTGAGGGTCTGAGGTGGAGGAGAGCTTGGCGATCATAAACGAGCAGAGCAGAGACATTCTGACAAACATAAAACAAAAACAGGACAGCTAAAGGTAGAGAGCTAAGCGAGCGGCGAGCCGACACAGGCGCCATCTTGAATCACGTCACGTCACGTCCTCTTATTTTAAGGTTAGTTTGGCCATTAATATGAGTTGTTATTTCAGATTATGTGTGCAGTGGATGTACATGATCTTTAGTTTGCTAGTTATTACGAAGAATACTTCAGGAAATTGTGTAAATACAACTTTTTCATTGTTACCAAGGTGGTTGCTAGGGACGCTGCTATCGATATTATG